TATATATCTGATATATATATTTCAGATATATGTTTGTGGAAATATATATATATATATTTATTTATTTATTTATTTCAGCTTTACTTCAGAAATATACATATTATATATAAAATTTCAGCTTTAATCCATCAAATCATTTTTAATTTCCAGGCATCCAGCCTTCGCTTCTTAGACTTGAATCCTTTACCGTTCACACCGGGAGAATCATTCACAAAATCGACCCAAACCGACCATGTCGGTTTTACTTAGTATTGGGTCGGTTTCGGTTTCATTTCTAGGTAAACTGACCAGGTCGGGTCGGTTGGAAAAACGCCAATAAACCGACCCAACCCAACCCGTGAACAGCACTAGCGGGAGTAGTATGTGTAATCCTGGGCCATTAGGTATCAGAGGTGCAAGAAGGGATGAGAGTAGAAGTATCCTAGCAATATAATCAGATCACATAGGAGGAGACTCAGTAAGGGCAGAGTTAATGGCAGCAAGTTTTAAAGCACAGAAAGCCAAGGAAAAGGATGCTGAAAGATTGATTATTGAAGGTGATTCTAAGGTGATCATTAGCTGGCTATCAGAGGAGGCAGCGGCTGCATGGTGCTTTAGTAATGAAATCAGACGGTTTAAATGGTTTTCAAAGGATTTGCATATAATTATTCAATGGATACAAAGATCTACTAATAGCTTGGCTGGTGTACTGGTAAAGCAGGGAGTTAATACCGGGAAAAAACACTATCAACTTTTCTGTTCTTTTACATCATCACTTCTGGGCAGCAAAAGTACATATATTAAAATTTAGAGAGAGAGAGAGAGTACAAAGGGAGAAAAGAATTAAACAAAAAATGGTAGAAGAAAAGATGCCAAATGGCCCAAACCCTGCCAAGCTAAGGTGCACCAAAACCAGAAAACATCACCAGGCCCCATTAAACCCCATCAAGAAACACAACAGAAGCATCAATCAACTTTTCCCTTTCTCTTTAATCTCCTCTTTTTTCAGATGTCTTCTGGTTCTCTGATACTAATTAGCCAGATTAGTTTTATCAGTATTTTCCTTTTTTGGTTAATTAAAATGCTAATCTCCTAACTCCAAATCAAACTTCATCTTTGCTTCCTGGGATCCAATTAGCCTCCATCTGGCTCCTCTTTTTTGCATAGTAATATAAATCGAACTTTTTTTGAAAGAAAGAAATATAAATCATACTTCAACTAGTTCCAAAAAAAACTTCTGTTTCATCATTCTCCTTTGTACTTTTAAATAGTCTATCCATTTTTTTTTTGATGAATAAAATAGTCTATCCATTAGAGGATCACTTGAGCACATCGGCACATCCTAGTTTGACTGACTGAGGGTTTTGGAGTACAAATTCAGATTTCGTGGAGGATGGCATCCTCTGCAATTTGTTGGTACCTATGGTCTATGGAAGGATATAAACAAACTCTGAGGATGAAATCAAGCATATTATAATTTTTGGTGTTCTCTCTCTGAGTTCAAAAATCAAAATAGTCATTTTGACAAATGGTTTCATTAACCAATAAGCCATACTTCATGGCAATGGCTTTTGTTTTAAGTAGAGATGATGGAATGCTGGCCCTTCTTTCAGAACTTGAAGATGTGCTCATCAGGCCAGATTATAGGAACCAGACATCATGGAAGGAGGAACCCAAGGGGAAATTCTCTGAAATTATTCTATGTTGCCTAAGCTAAGGGTATGACAGAGATAACTGGTATGGATTGCATTTGGGGAAGATGTATTCCTTCAAGCCTCGAGACATTCATGTGGTTGGTATGACAGAGTTAATAAGGTGCACAGTCCCACTACAGTTCACCTAAACAACGGGAGATGCAAATTCACAACTGCTGTCATGTGGAAATCAACCAAGGAGGACAATTGCTTATCCCTCTTGTCCAGCGACTTCATTCCTCAGAGAAGTCTTTTGCCCTTCGTTCAGATTTCTTTTTTTATCAGTACCCTTCATTCAGATTTATTGGTCTTGTCTTTCCTCAATAAGTGATTCTATCATGGCCCTCCACTTTGATTGGAAATAGGGTGCTATCCTCGCTATCCTTTAGTTCATGGTTCCTATGCTGATAATCATGAGATTTTAAAGGGATGTAAACAGATGGTATTTTTTTATCAGTAACTGTTTGAAATTTTATAAATTATGAGTAAGAAAACTGTAACTATCATGTACAATGCTGGCAATCACCGAAGGTAGATAGCCTCAGATAACCACCGCTTAAAGCCTCAATTACAAGTCCCCCGCTGGAGCACTAGATACCAGAGCATTTGATCTCTTGATGTCCCTTGTTTTGCCAGACCATCTTCTAGGTTGTTTGCTGATCAAGATACTCATTTGACACTTATTTTCAGCTCCTTCATTGGCTTTTTAATCTCCTTTAAGAGCATGTGTGTACTTCCAAGGTCTATCCCAATTTCTTTGCAGCCACCCTGTTATGAAATGGAAGTCACCTTCAATGATTAGATTCCAGTAATCCAACTTTGCCCTTCTTAAACCCCATAAAACAGCATTCAATTCCACTTTAGTTGAAATCACCTAGCCTAATAATGATCAAAAAAAATCACCTAGCCTAATATTGATCAAAAAAAATCACCTAGCCTAATATTGATCAAAAAAAAAAATCACCTAGCCTAATAGGGCCAGAGTAAATGGCTATCATATTTTCATCCCAGTTTCTGATTGCTTCCCCAATACCAGAAATTCCTGATTGCCTAGGTTGCAGCCATTAAAGTTCAAACTTTATAAATGTTGGAGGTGGTAGGCTCCAATGAATTGTTGGGTCCAATCTAACCAATGAGGAATCAGCCGTGAATGATGTCATCAGTCGTGAAGGGTACAAATACATACAAGGTTTTCACCCAGCGTGCAACCTTAATGGATATGTTGTCAACCTCTCCCTTCTTTTCTTGTATCTGTTTCTAATTTTTAATAAAAGTTCAGTTATTGATCAAAAAAAAAAATCTTCCTACACACACCACAACATGACAGCTCACATGTATCTTCTCCACATAATTCTGCCTCCATTTCTTGAGGAGAAAAAGGAGGCTTCGAGCAGATAATATTTTATGGCTTGCAAAAATTTGCTATATCTTTGTGGCGATTAGGGCTGTTAACAGAGTCTGAGTCTTACACCCAATCCATTTACATAATCAGATTGGATTCAGATTTTGTAAGCTTGCATCTATTTAGAAACCAGATGAGATGTGAATTTGACCATATCCAATCTGATTAAGATCCAAGCCCAATTAAATTTCATAATATACATATTATATAATTATATGTATACACACACACACATATATATATGGATGATATATAATCATATAAAGTTTATAGTTAAGAAACTAAGTATTTTCTATTTATAAAAATTTATTTTAAAGTTAAGAGTGATTAATTTGTTAAATTATTTTAACATTTCTTATTATAAAAACAATGAAATGTACTTGGACCAAATCTGGATCCAATCTGAAATCTGATAAGATCCAAATCCAGCCCAGGACCCCTATATCTAATCAGATTTTAGATCAAATCAGATTCGAATGTGGCTGGGTCCGACCCAATTAGGGCCCTAGTGGGGATGTCAGTAATTTGTTGATGGATTCAGATCTTGTTCCTTTTTTATAAATAAGATCTGTATTAATGAGAAGGAGGGAGGAGAGGTTTCCCAAAAAAATAGAGATTACAGATCTAGCAATACAAACAAAAGAAAACACCATGATCATGCATGTACTAAATTACTAATATCCACCTATACACTATAATAAAAGTAATTGGCCCAATGACGAGGGCCATATGTTGTAACACTTTTCTGGTTGCAGGACCTTTCTGTAAACCTTCATAATAAAAGTCTAATTACCCATAAATAGGCATGTTCATGGGCCACGTAGCCCAATGGGCTGGCCCATTCTAAGTTGGGCTTGGTCATGAATTTAGGCACAGGTTCGGGCCCAAAACACCAGGCCGGGCTCAAGCTTTCTCAAAAAAGCCCAAGCCTACTTGATGATATATTATATAACAAAAAATATATTTTATTTATATAATAAAAAATATATACGCTATGCTTTTTCTTTATTCCTCTTCTTTTTTCCAAGTCATAGTGATATCTTTCAATATTTTTGGGTTTTGAGGTCTTTTAATATAAATAAAACAATTTTTCATTGAATAAAAAAGAAAAAATCTTTTCCCAAATTTCTGGTGGGCTTCAAACCCGGGCCTGGGCTTCGAGCTTTATATGAGGGCCAGGCTCAGGCTCAGGCTCAAGACCTGGCCTGATGGTCGGACCAGGCTCGGGCTCAGGCCTGAATGTATTGCGTTAGTACAGAGACAAAGCCTGGCCCGGCCCAGCCCATGAACAGGTCTGCTCATAAAAAAGGTCACCTTATATAACTACTCTCACACAAACATAAACCCAAAGACCATATCTTTGGGTTACACATAAAATATTCCTATATATTTTTTGGTCATGGCTACAGTAATAATAATAATAACAATGTTTTTTGGTGATAAAAATAAAATTTATTAAAACGAAAAAAATAAATTACAAGGGAGAGTGACCAGAAGTCACTCGAAGGAGAACAAAAACAAACACCACTCCAAACTCTCAAAACAAGAAACCAAACCAGCCGAGCCTCAACATGATCAACAAAAGCCAAAAGCCCAAAAACCACTAAAAATACAACTCACAACAACCAAGAAACAAGCACCCAAAAAAAAAGTTAAACTCAGAGAAAAAAAAAAACTCAAAACAAAATCACTTCAAAACCCCATGAGAAAAAACAATACCACAACCCCATCAAGCACTGCAACCTCTAAGCCACTGACCACTAAAAACTTCTATAGGTTTTCTTGGTCTTCTAAATATAATAGTGTAGCAAATCCATTATTCATGAGCATTGTATCACAGGTTTTGCCAAAGGGTTGCACTTATGACATTAAAGCCTAGACACATACACAGACAGACAGAGAGAGGGAAAGAGTGTGTGGTATACATTTCCATTTGATGTTTCAGAGAGTTGGCGGGTCCAGGCATTGGAAAGATTGATTGAACCATCTCTCAAAGATATTGCAATTCCACTTGTTGCAGTTGAATGAAGGGATAGGTGCCTGGGAAAATAAATGAACAAGAAAGGTCCAGTAATTGTTGGAAATAATGGTACAGAGGATTCTGAGCAATGAAGATAAATTACAGAAAAAGTAATCCTACCGGGATGTTTGTACCCCAATAAGTGCTCGTAATCCAGCTGAAGCCATGAATTCCACAGAAGCAACTGAAGAAATTTGGTGCCTCAGCACAGCAGTGGCAGCTCCACCACCAGAATTTCCAGTAACTGCCAAGTTTCCACCAACGGCAATGGTGTTGCGCTTGGATATTTGAGACTGAACTTCAGTAGACATAGCCATTCTGACATTTATACATTGTAACTGAACATAAATAACCAGATCAAAACGATTTGCAGAGTTATTCTGATGCTGCACATAACAATATCTTCTTTTTTTGGAAAGAAAAGGTAATATATAGTGTATTTCCTTTGATGCACATAATAATACCTATTGCAAAAAGGTATTCATTGATGATGAACAAAACAATAATATCCTACTACTATAAAGTAATAGATGTGGAGTAAAAGTCCTAATAAGGTCAAGCATTTGAAAATTGAAACAGAAGGGTATGTAGGATAAAATACAGGAGAAGCTTGTTCAATAAGAATTGAAAAGCATGAAGTAGCCCCAAACCCTAGTTGGAAAATAACAAGAAATAAAAGGTTGATGAGTATTCCTTCACAACTTCTGGTTGTACTGTTTCTCTAATATTAATGAAATTGATTTCCTGAGTTATTAAGCAAAAAAAGGGTTGATGAGTATTGAATAGTTTCACCTCTGGCCTTATATAAACCTTATTGACATATTATCAAACAAAGTTTATCCAGGATTTTCCCACAGTCTCAAGGGTGACTTTTAAGAGGAAATTAATGAGCATCACTAGTGTATTTCTAAATCCCTGCACTCTTCCAATTCGAACAAAGATGAAGTCTAAGCCAACACAAAAGTCAACTTTTGGTCAAAAAAACTAGAAATAAAATTCAACCAAAACACACATCAAGAAATTAGAAGTTATCCATAAGCAAGACCTTTTCTATCAAACATTTTCAGCAATAGTTTTGAGTCAGATTGTAAAACAAGATAACCTAAAAGAGAAGCAAGTATACCCCTTCATAATGCCGCCACCATTTAGGAACTGTGGAACTGACAAGTTTGCAAGAATTGAACCAGAAGGTCTGACATGGGCTGAGGCCTTTTCTTGTTCCTTTCGACGCCGTAATCTTTCAAACTCTTCCTTGATCTCTTCTGCTTTATTCAGCTTTGGGCCAAGCTCCAAACCTGATGTTAGTCCTTCCATACCATAAATATCATATATTTGCCTTTTATGTTCATCTGTTAAGATTTCATATGCTTCACGAATCCGTTGAAAGTTCTCTGTAGCAATGTCCTTCATCTGAAACAAGCATGTGACAAAACACATCCTTACATAGGAAATTAAAAAGAAGCAATGATTATTCAACAAGAGAGAATTATCAGTTCATATGAACATATCACGTGATATGAACACAAATTCAGTAGGAAAATGAGTTACAGCAAGAAATAAAGAAAAAGTAAAAGAAAAAGAGGACTAGATCACATATTGGCATGTAAAGAAATTATGAAACAAAAGAGTGGTAATACAATAGCCAACAAGAATCAAATACTTCCAACTATGAGAAGAACTTCAAATGCATTTTGTTTAATCACTTGCAAAGACCTACCTCCTTTAGTAAGAAATACCCAATAAATCCCAAGTAACAGAAAGCATACAATCACCCCCAAGGGCTGGGAGGAGGACACTACAACTGAGACATCACTTAAGCTCCCAAACACGTATCAACTCCCTTCTAGAGAGAAAATCGTGTTCACATGGACAGGTAACGCATTGAAAGAGAGAGATGAGCAGATTGTGTGGAGACCAAAATTTAAACACCCAACCATGCATGGTTTTGTTCTCCAATTTTGAATTCATGAAGATTGATTGCAGTGTAGCAGATGCAAGATGGTGGAAAGCATGTACCAATTGGAAGTTTGCAGTCAAGTCATATATGATGCAATGATTTGCTTATAACAAAGATAAAATTTTATTAAAACAAAATGGAAAAAAAGTAACAATTATTGATGAAGAGGTTTCACCAAAACAAGTTACAACTAAACTGTCCAAACACAATACAATCAGCACCCAAAAAAAACTTAAGAATTGCATCACATAATTCCAAAGTTGCCCATAATTTATCTCCAAAATCCTCCCTCTCAGCCTCTTTGAATTCTGCATGTATTAACACCCAATCCACAACCAAAGATTCAATATCAGCCACAAGTTTGTTTTCCAGTTATTTTTTGCCACAAAAATGCATCTACTTCTTTCCTTCCAAATACCCCAGCACACTGCAAAGGGTATAATGTTCTGGAATATCTTTGCTTTTATATGAAAAATCTCCTTTGACTGAGATAGAGCTGAACATGTAACCTGAACCAATGAAAAAAAGAACCCCCATACAAATTCCACTATCATGCAATGATTGAAGAGATGTGAAGCATCTTCTTCTTGATCATTATTACACACTAGACAGATCCTTGGTAACTGATAGCCTCTTGATTTTAGATGATCCAAAGTTAAAAATGCTATCAAGTGACAATAGCCATGCAAATGTTTCAACCCTTGGAGAGATCAGATTACCGTACACACCTACAACAAATGTACTTTACACCTGCTCCCTTACCAAGGCTTCACAAAAGCCTTGACAGAAAATTTCCCATCCTAAGACAAGCTCCCTATCTCAATTTGGATGCAATGAATGCTGAGGGTGATTTAAGCAATTCCATTTAGCACAGATAACTACCACAAAAGGGGGTTGGAATTTGGAAGCTTGCAGGGCTTTTCAGAGAGAATAAGACCTTGGGCATCCATGTTGAATGTTTGATTTCAGACTAATGTTAAATACTATTTTAAGGCAGGCTTCAAGAAAATTTTGTATTTTGTGTCCTGTTTCTGACATGTTACAATCTATGCATATGTTGAGGGACCTTAGTTTTGGAGCTTTTCTTTCCCTTCCTGTATCTCCCATCTCTTTCATATTAAAATTCCCCATGGTTAGTGGTCATATATGTTTCTTGTTCATAGTGCCTTAAATTTACTTTAGAGTATCATGCCAAGAAGATTGTCTTATATATATATATATATATATATATATATTCTACATTCACATGGAATGCAAGAGAAAATTCAGACTATATTCTTTCCAGAGCATATGATTTCTTATATTCGTTAACCAGCTCATAGTTTTGGAATAAAAACATTGATTAATTCTGACTCAACTAAAACTTGGGAGGAAGAATAAACTTAAGAAAATGGAGAATACCAAACAAAGTTACAAGCAAGGTGGACAAAATAGACATGAGAATGAGATGGAAAGAATTATATGATATTACTCTTTTTTTCACTTATTTTAGAGCAAAAGGGGGGGGGGGGAAGGACTTTGCATATCATCATCATCATCAACTAAGCCTAAGCCTTGTCCATACCATATGGGGGTCAGCTACATGAATCCCATTTCACCATTCTGTTCTGCTGGGTGTCATTCCATTTTTAAATTATGGTGCTTAAATCATTTCTTATTATTTCTATCCAAGCCCCTTTAGGTCTGCCCCTATCTCTTCTAACCCCTTCAACTTGTAACAGATCAGGAGTTCAGGACTTTGCATCTAACCTTCCTAAATTTAATCTAATCACTTGAAAAACATGTATATGTAAAATGTCCGGTAAGCGGGAACACGAAATCCAATTTGACAATGTCGAACCCCATAAATAGCAGCTTGCGATGTCTCCTAAATACAGTATAGTACATTAAGTTGCATACCCATGCTCTGAATGAGACAAATTCCACAATATCCATTTCATGTGTGTTTTTCTAATGATGGATTATTCATTTCGTATGTGTTGATCATCGGGTTTCGGGCATCCGTTATGAATATCACAATTATATGTATTTCACATATTGCAGTGCTACAAGAGAATTATACCAATAAAAAAACGCTCAAGGACAATTTTTGAGCTTCCCAGGAACCAACGCACCATAAATTTGGTTTTGTAATGCACTAATAATTTTATAGAGCTGCAAACACATGAAAAGTGTCGGCGATACATTAGAAAAAAAGAAATGCTTTACCTGTGGAGATTGGTATTTATCGGGGTGGTAGATTTGTGCCCATTGACGATAAGCTTTTCTTATTTCTTCGTCTGATGCTTCTGGAGATATGTGAAGTAGAGCGTATAGCTCTCTGTGTGGGGTTTCTGTGTCTTCTTCCTTCATACCTTTGCCGAGTCGAGAGAAGGTTAGGGTTTTACAGACGGCACGTCAGGTGGCACTGAAGAAGCCTTGGCCTTGGGAAGTCACTGTGAACTGGGGCTTGGGGTTTTAAGGGTTTTGGGCCTTTTGCCGTGCCGTATGGAGAGACAGGAATTCCATACTTGCACGTGGTAAACCATAGCCGTATCCTATTTATGGCCCGTTTGAGAGGGCTGAGCGATTCAGTGAACCGGTGCCCGTGAGAGCTGAAGCGCAGCGGCTTCCGGCTTTCCGATGCGGCCCTACGTGGCAGCCTTGAAGGTTGGCACGTATAAAAACTGAGAAGATTGTGGCTGTTTGGAGAAAAACAGCTTGGGCTGTCTAAGATAGAGGTGTTCAATCCCACTCCGGATATGCTACTCACAAATTATTTTCACATCCCAACACATATCTTCCCAAACCCCAATAATGAGAAAAGGGAGATATACTCAATTCCCGGTTGTGATACCTTGTATGCAGGGATGTGGGAACAATGTCTGGACAGCAGATCCCATAAAGCACATGAATGAATTGGAAACAATATTAATCTTCTACCACCAATAAATCACATTCTAACACCATTCCAACATGATCTCAGAAACCACACATCTCACCACGAGACTGAACCCGCTAGGATGTGTGGTGTCATATTATATTGGAAGGGTGCTGAACATATTATATTGAATTTGAAATAGTTGACCGCTTTAGTGTTGGTTTCACAGCTGCTTGAATAGTTAAAGTGTTTAGCTAAATTGCTCCATTGCTCAATTCATCCTAATCTAGAATGTCCAATTGAAAAAATATGATAAACGAATACCAAATCAAGTTAACCAGTTTGATAGATTAGTTTTATGTTTTTTTTTTTTTGTTATGATTTTCATGTAAACAATATTAAGTTTTCTTATAAACAACCAACTAATATTTCATCACCAACAAAACATATATCTACAATAAATATTTAGGAAAATGACGGTTCAGTCCAAAGTCAGAATTTCTAGGCCCAAAGTACAGTTGGGATAGGTGCCAGTTCGGAATTGATGCCAATTCGGGATCAAGCATTGATGTATACAGTGGGGTTTTGACATTTTAAATGTTTATAGCTCTGTAGCGGAATTAGAAATATGCATTGGGCTTGCCTATACCTTTTTCTGTAAATAATTATTTATAGTGTAAAGAAAAAATATAATAACTACATATCTAAATGCAACCAAAATAAACCAGACAACTAATAATCATTATAAAAAAAATGCATTAATCTTCAACGCTCACAACTTCGGATGACTTAATCACTCTTAATAATGTAATTTATAAATATATGGGTCAGTTCGATTAACTACTAGCCTTATTGTGGGTTAATCAAAACTGAACCGAAAAACTGAATATCTAGAAAAAACAAACCAACATAATCAACTATTTGGATTTTCGGTTATGATTGCCAGTTATGGGTTGATTTTTTTTTTTTTTTTTTTTTGCTTTTGAATACAAGTTAGATTTCGGATTTTCATGAACGCCAATGTTTTTTTTAACGTCTAAAAGCAAATTCATTTATAAAGAAAGGGAAAAAAATGCAATTATGAAAGCATACTAATTAAACTTGCTAAGACAAAAGCAGGTAACGAAGAACATTGGGAAAAAAAACTCGAGAAACCTCTACAAATGGCACAAACTCAAGAAACACTAAAAAGGTTGGCTAGATGCCTCAAACATAGTTGAACTCAAGTGTCTTTCTACCATTTTAGTAGCATAAAATTCATAAAAGATGTTGGAGTGATATTCAAAATTTCAAGAATTTCACCTCATTCATCTTTGCCTTTTTTTTACTTTTGTATTTTCTCTCTTCTCCTCTCTTGCATGTAGGTAAATAGCTCTTGTCCCACATTGGTCTAAAAATAGATAAAGTTGAGTATATTAGTAGGCTTGCTTCCTCTATGGGTAAGGTCTCATAGGAGAAAAGAACTATATATCACTACATGCACGTGAAGGGGGGTTGGAGAACTTTTCACATATGTGCCTTGTGTGTATTCGTTAACCCAATGACACATAACAATGCACACAAAACACACCTTCCCTCTCCGTCAATCGTCCATATCTGAACATCATATTGACCACCTTTGCAATAACCATATCCTAAATTGCATGTCAAATGAATTATATAATGTCTACTGTTTTTACAATTTTGCCTAATAAATTTTGAATGCTTTGAACAAAAAATATACTCTGGAAAATGTCGAAAATAAAAAATATGTCATTGCTAATTTTCTCCATTTTACCATGAATGAAGACATTGATGTGTTTGCCAAAATAGATGAGTTACATGTACTTGTGGGGGAATTAGCTGAGGAAGGCATGATACTACTAAATGAATTTGTTGTTAGTTCTCTCATAAAGAAATTGCCATATATATGAAATGATTTCAAAACTAGTATGAGACACATGAGAAATGACACTACTTTGGATCAAGTAGTGGTTTGAATCAAAATAGAAAAAAAAATAAAGAATGATGAAGTTCAACCAATATGGTGGAGAAAATTACTACAAAATTCAAAGAGAACTTCAATGTAAAACCAATATGTATCAAACCAGGCATTACAAGAAAGATTGTCATCACTGAAAGAAGAATGACTCTAGGAAACGAAAAGTCAAATTGTCTAGGGATATTATTGCAGCCATGATAATCGAGGCAAACTTTGTTGATAAACCAAAATAATAGGTATTGGACACCAGTGCTACTAGGCACATATGTAGGGACTATGGCTCTACAATTCAAACTAAGGGCCCGTAAGTCTTCATAGGAAACTGAAAAAAACTTATAGACTTCAAAAGTCATTGGCAAGGCAAATGTGCTCATGAAACTAACATTGGGAAATATCCTAATATATATAAGTATACAACTCATTATAAATCTGGAATGGATGGTTTTTCATCCAAGAAATGGAATCTATTCGTGCAAATAGATTGAAGGTGTCACGTGCAAATAATTTGTGCGTGTGTGTAGGTAGGGCAGAGGTCGATCACCTCTCTCGAGGGGATGCTTGCCGAGCAAGTCACTCTCCTCTTTTAATTCTCTCTCTCTACTCTTCTCTCCTCTCTTAATTCTCTATCCTTCTCCGATTCCTCTCTCTCAGTTCTTGATGATGGTGGATTTGGCCCTCCAATGATATTGTGACATATGGCACCTTAGAACAACTAGGTGACACCCGGGACCACTTTGGCAACAACTTGCCTCAGCCAAGTTGATGGTGTCTGACCTGGCAGCCTGGCACAGGCGCGACCTGACGACTTGGCACATGCGCCGACTAGGCGACTTGCAAGACGTGCTCGCCGACGAATTCGGCATGCATATCCAAACACTCCCACGACCCTTGGAAGTTGGCCCACGTGTCGAACGATCTGGAGGTGGACGCCAAGAAAGCAGCGGAATAAGTGGGCGAATTTCAAAATTTTTTCTCCTTTCAATCAACTGGGAATCGTATTCCCTTATTTTAGAATCAATTATTCAAGGACCTACTTGTACCAAACCAAACCAGATCTGAACCAAAGATCAAGGGAAGGGTTATACTTGATACGGAGAATCAAGATCTCCCAACGTTGGTGTTCACGCCCAAAGAGAGGTCCAAGATCCGCTCCMGCTGAAGATGACACAGCGACGGTGGAGCAGAACCAATAGTGTGCGTCCTACGCACCGAACTCTTCGCAAGAATCCGATGGAAGCTTAGAGCACCAAACCAAATCAGTCTTTCAGCAATGACTAATGTCAAGAACTAGCTTCTTGATCGTCCCTTCAGAGGAGTTCGAACCAAGCAGTAAGGTGGCGGCGGCTGGAAGAGTTCTTATGGTTGAAAGTGGCGTGGATGCAGATTTCAACTTAGGAAGATGAGATCCTATCTCAAGCTTGCAGAAGTAGTTACTGCAAAACCCTAGGTCGAATTCTAATAATTCAATATTAGGGTTTTCTCCTTTCTTAGTGATTAAAAAACCTCATAATCCTATTAAGAATTATCCCAATCCAAATCTGAATTTGGATAGGGGATAATCTTAATTCTATCTGCAGATTAGGTCAGCCCACTCCTGATCTTATCARGAGGTTACCAGATTCAAATCACATTTGAATTTGGTCTCCAAGAGTGGATAGGGTTAAAACCCTAATCCTTTTTCTAACCCTAATCCCATATACGCCCCCTTAAGTGGGTGATCATATCAGCCCAGGTCGAAATGGGCTTTTAGGCCCAATAAGTAATTAGTGCTTAATAACTTTCCAAACTGTTGTCCAGTTGGACTTCTTTGTATGGTGTGGGAATCAAGCATTGATCTACACATCAGCCACATAGGTTCGGCCCAACCTTTGTTATAAGGCCTAGCCGAATTCACTAGAAAGCCCAGTGAACCCCTTGAGCCCATCACATGGACTCTATGGGCCCAACACTTACAYTAAGTGGTCCCTGGGCCAAGCCATCTTATAAAAACCCAGGGACTGCGGGTAGATGCAAGATTAACCCATCAGGTATTACCCTAAATGGCCTTACACTTAACCTCTCAGCCCATAAT